AAATAAACGTTGAAAAAAAAAAAATTAAAAAAGGAGGGCACAACTAAATGCTATCTGCAAGAAATCCACACTATATAAAGACACATAAGTTATAAGGACTTTGCAGCCACTAATCGTATGTTAGCTAAGATGGCTATATTAATATCATATAAGGAAGACTTCATGACAAGGAATAATACACCTTGATAAAGAGGGACATTTAAAGAAGATAAGGGGGTCAATTTAGTAAGACATAACAATCCTAAAAGTATACGTATCCAATAGCAGAGTTTAAAAAAACATAAAACTAAAACAAATAGGAAATCAATAAGGATACAGAAGACTTAAATAACTATCAACCAACTTTAAAAAATTGTTTTAATGTTTATTTTTGAGAGAGAGAGAGACAGAGAGAGACGGAAAGCATGAGTGGGGGAGGGGCAGAGAGAAAGGGACACAGAATCCAAAGCAGGCTCCAGGCTCTGAGCTGTCAGCACAGAGCCCGATGCAGGGCTCAGACCCACAAACCGTGAGACCTGAGCCAAAGTCGGACACTTAACCGACTGAGCCACCCAGGCGCCCCACTATCAACGAACTTTATGTAATTTTGTAAAAAAATTGTTTTGTATTTTTTAATACTTTTGATAAAAATATTTTGTACACTTTCTGTAAAACACAGCTCACTCAATAGCAGAATTGACATTCTTTTCAAGTGCACATTGAACATTCACCAAGATACACTATATATTGAGCCATAAAATAAGTCTCAATAAATTTTGACTAATTAAAATTATAAAGGTATGTTCTGTTAACATAATCAATGAAATTGGAATCAATGAAATCAATGAAAGAAAAAATATTTGGAAAATGTCAAGGTATTTGGAAATTAAACAACCTACTTCTAAAGCTAAATTTTTTTAAAAAATGTTTTAATGTTTATTTATTTTTGAAGGAGAGAGAGACAAAGCATGAGTAGGGGAGAGGCAGGGAGAGAGGGAGACACAGAATTCCAAACGGGCTCCAGGCTATGAGCTGTCAGCACAGAGGCCAACGAGGGGCTCAAACTCACGAACCGTGAGATTATGACCTGAGCTGAAGTCAGACGCTTAACCGACTGAGCCACCCAGGTCCCCCCTCTTTTTTGTTTAATTTTTTAAAGTTAAATTTTTTAAAAAGAGCAGTTGGGGTGCCTGGGTGGCTCAGTCGGTTAAGCGTCCCACTTCGGCTCAGGTCATGATCTCAGAGTTTGTGGGTTTGAGCCCACATTGAACTCTGTGCTGACTGCTCAGAGCCTGGAACCTGCTTCGAATTCTGTGTCTCCCTCTCTCTCTGCCCCTCCCCCACTCACACTATGTCTCTCTAAAATATAAACAAACATTAAAAAATACTTAAAAAAATAAAAGAGCAGTTAAATTTCTAAAAATTGAAAAACGTATAGTTCATGAGATCTAGAAAAAAAAAGAAAATATGTAAATTGCCAATCTGAAAAAAAAGGAGGGAACATCACTTATAGATCTTGTGCATTTTGAAAGTATAATATGGAAATAGTTTTAACAACTTAATGCCAGTAAATTTGGCAACTTAAATGTTCTATACTAATGTCATCACACAGATATTACTAAAACTTAGGAAAAAAATGACTTAAAAAGAGATTTAGGACAAATCAAATAAATATACATTCATAAAAGAAACTGAATTTGTAAT